ACCTGGTTGTGAGGATGATATCCTGCTCTGATGATGTCCGTCATACTATAGACAAAGGCTCAGCAGATTATTGCCGGAATCGAGGGAAAATGCCCTAAATATCGACAAGAGGAATACACCCTTGCCTTCTTCATTACACCCTTTTTAACTAATTAAAATTAAGCTCAACATTGATAAATCAAGAGGACCCTGAAAACCTTGCAAACCTTTTTTCACAGATGTCATTGGCTCAAGCACGAAACAGATACAGCAATTACCTTTCAATGTTTCTACAAGGCAATCCACTTTCTGTCCGGGCAGACGGACAATGTTGTGTCGGTGAGCTGAAGAAGCTGAGCGAGGTCCCCAATGACGTGCACTCTCGTCTAGTGACAGCCCCCTAAGACCTTGTCTGTGCCCCGACTTTGCATATCCGTCAAACTCGGCTTCATCACCAGCATCGCCAGGCTCTCTGAGCTGACCAGGACTCTCTGAGTCCGTCTCTCGGTCCTGAACTTTAGTCGTCTGACCCGACGGCCAGCCTCCTGAGAGTGCCGACCCTGTGGCGTTCGGCAAATGCCATCGCTTTTCAGCCGGACACCGGTAGAGTCGCCAGACGACAGCAGCTCTGGGATTTGAAGGTCCCACTTTGCAGAGGATCTCGACTTCGTGGTTCGCCTCAGTCTCGATTAGGTCACTGTCAGGCCAAGGATAGAAGCGTAATGCATGAGGCTGCTGCTGTTGTTGGTGGTGTTGCAGTCGACGTGGCCGGTTGTCCTCTTGGCTGCCACCTGGAATCAAGTGATGCCCAGTACCTGCTGGTACCGTCAGTTGCAGCGATTGCACACCAAACGCCACAATCAGCAGAAGAGGCGAACTGGACTGCGAGTCTTGCCGGCCGAACGAGGAACGAGTACTCCTTGAAATGCAACTGAACAAAAGACGATGGATCATATGCAAATAGTTCAGAAGCATAAAAGTATGCAAGCAATAGAAACGATGGAAATAAAGAAAATATTTTAAAGATAATGATAATATAGGTCGGAAAAGAGAGAAATTTTCAATTCCATTCATCAAAATGACGCAATTTCAGGAGAAGAAAGTCATTTGGGGGTTTTGCACTACTTTGTAACAACTCTCCAATCTTATATTTCTCATCATCCTGTCCTTATCCTAGCTACACATACATTGCACACTTAATGATGCTTCTGTTTCCTACTTTTCAAGAGGCTGAAATGTACCAGAGGCTGGATGTACCATGGAATTATAAACAAGATAGGGCATATGAGAAATATTTGCCCAATTTCGTTTAGAGTGAAAAAGGACTGGTTGCTGAATTTTCCCACAACGATACGAATAAACCTTATGTTTACATTAAATTTCACATAGCCTAGTCCTTCATCACCTTAAACGAAAAAGGATCAGCACATCTCATATATATGATTTACTGGTATTATCTAAACCCTACTTGCAAACTAATAATGAGTTAAGCCATGCCAACTTTGTATAAGGAAATACAACATTATCATAATGCTTCCAACAACGAGGCCCTATTTTCGACCCGCCAATGATCTATACACCAACAAGGGATTATATCGAAGATAGAAATATAAAAATGGTGTGGCCTCAATATTTGTTGAGGTCTCTTTTCTACCCTCTTTGACAACTTTGTCGTGTTGTTAGAGCAATTTCAAAAAATATCTTGTACGGCATCATCTATTATGAGAATCATGAAAATTTCCAGCGTCTAACAGTTGACTTTGTGCAATCCCATGCTAGCCAGAAGTAAGCAAGCTAAGGGTTCAGATGAAGAGGGAGCAATACATGAAGCTATGAGAAAAGTCAGCGGATAGAAAGAAAGGGGATACCATAACCTTTATTTGTCTCTTCAATGAGTTTTAGTCATTTGGTTAGAATCGTGACATCTACAAAATCCGTTTTTTGACACTGAAAATTACAATAACTACTAAACAGAGGACGTATGAAATGATGCGCTCTTCAAGGTCTCTCTGGCAGCACTATTATCCACATAAAAGCGAAAGCAAATAAATAAATTCGATGTTAAAGACATTGTGGCTGTACTACTTGCTCTCAAATAAAAGTAAATTTGTTTCAGCAGTCAACCACACTTGATTTTCAGCAATAGCATCAAGTTTTTCGTGTTCAGCTAAAGTCACCTACATCTGCCAAGTCGGGCAATATTATAAACCCAGCTTACCTGCAACACTAAATTAAATCATTTGATTAGGCTCAAACCTACGTCTAGATTAAGAGGGTTCTAGAAATCTGAAGCGAAGGCAAGTTTAGCAGAAATCTTTGCTTATCACATGTGTCTTCAAGACGCTAAGTAATAATGCTGGTCACGCACAATTATTGTACAGTAAGGCATCCCTGGTGCAAACATAAGAATGGAGTTAGACTGTTAGATAATTACCCCGTCGCAAATAGCTCGGTGTAAATGTTCAGATTTTCGGAGGATTTACTAAAAAGCAGGCAGATGGTTGTCTTTACTCCTCGTTTTTTCCGCATTCCTTAAAAAGTGCGCAAGTTATAAAAAATTTAATAACCTAATGATCACATTTCCATGACGTCGGAAGAATGCAGGACACTGATGTTTATGGGTAAGTTTAATTTAATGAAGCAAGTTATTCAAGGTATGGCGACAGTTATAAATTCATTTGAGATTAAATAGTGAATAGATTGAGCGCGAATACAAGCTGTTTTTCAATATATGCTTAGAAAATGGTGAAGAGATTCGTTTGTCGTTCTCACCAGATGAAGACGGATGAAAATCGTTGTAGTGCAGCCGTTTAGCTTTTATATTATATTCATGTTGACACAGTCGACGAGTATTCCTCCCTCGTTTCGGGTAAAAACGT